TCATAGCTCATTATGCAATAGGAGCGGGAAACCTCACATGTCCCCCCTGTTGGTCCCATATTTTGGGTCCCTGTAGAAAAAACTCATTAATAAACATGACGATTTTGAGGTGCAGGGTCAAGAACTCACGTCCCCAGCAGACTTCGCGGTAAAATATGACCGCAAGGTATAGAGAACCCACGTGCACCTCCGCATGTAATAATCATGTAAATTTTGATTAGCGGAGAGTAGGTGGTGGTAATTGATGCTGTCTAGGTTTCTGGGGCGCTCCGTTTTTGTAAGAGAGCAACCGAGCGAGTTCATGGCATTGGGCTATTTTTTTTCTTTTATATGCCAGAATAGCAGCAGGTCCTCATCAGTAGCGACACAAACACAGCAAAAAAAATTGCTGATCACCAAATTATCTTTGTCTAATCTACATCATCAAACGGAAGCTAACGATGACAGCTTTACCCTATATTTTGCTACATAATTTCCCGTACTAGTTGATCTCCGTCAACATGACCAATGGGAAGATTGATGGCAGATGGTGTTCAGGTAACGCGCTTCAACTCTACGTCGAACAATTTTAGGTCGAACAATGATAGATCTCTGGAAAAGCGAAAATCCCTCGGAAGTCTTTGCTAACAGAACAGCAACTTTAGCCTTATTATTTACTACATTATCTTCCATTCTTGGGCTTGAAACTCTCCCTAACCCTTAATTTAGTTCTCGATGTTAACCGCATAAAACGGGTAGCTTTGAACCAAAAAGGATAGGGAATAACGTCGTACCCATTGTCAACATCAGCCAAAGTAGCACAATGTAAATCAACAAAAATTATACCACATCGAGTCAGAAAACAATTTCATAACAAGAATTGGAAAAACTAGAACAGAGAATTTCGTACTAAGATTCAAATAGACGCGGCTACATTCCAATTCAAACAAACTTTTTAACATAATTTACATATTTACATCGTGGGTGATCTAACTTGTCCAAAAGGAAAGCCTATTCCTCTGCAGTCTCTAATGCTTGGAAAATATCTGTACGAGTAACCATGCCTGTTTAAAAAGAGTTTAAATTGGCTACATTAGGCTAGAGTTTTACAAAGAGGAGGCAGAATAACGTTCACAGCGTAAATTTACTCTTCTTACCCACTACTCGCTGATCCTTGTTCAGAACTGGTATCCTGTGGATCTTCTTCTTAAGCATTAAGGCTGCAGCTTCTGCGATGAGAATTAGATGATATCCAAGATAAGTTCCCATTTCATCGTGCATACCTAGAACTTGAGGAAACATCAAGTATCTGTGAAGCTTACCAAGAACAGTCTTGTCAGGTGTTAAAGTGACGGCGGGGGTAGACATGACTTCTCCAACCTTCGACTTCAACTGTTTAATCAAAAATATTTTGATCAGGAAAACAGGGATAATAAAAACGATCAACAATATATCGAAATCATAGAATCAGGCCGGAACTTTCAATTTTGAGGCCCCATCCTTTCTCTCAAAAAGAAAAAAACAAAATATAGAAAGCAAGTCATTGAGAAGTATTTTTATGCATGATATCAGTCAGCATGCATGCAACAAAACCAAAAGCTACGCTACTTACAGGATTTGAATTTAGCTAGGACCTCCCACATACCATCCCAACCCTTTCAGAACTGAAACTAACGCAAGTGCCCACAACAGTGCACTTATAGTCATAAGTTAGGGGGATAAAACCAAGCCAAGAAAGCCTGATGTCCTCAAGAGACCATGTTCAGAGAACTGTTTGCTTCCACATTATACATGACCAGCTCTGATCAGCCGTAGGAACATGAGAATGATAACTAACACTTCCTACACCAAAATGGTAGTCAGCGCAGAACTTGAATACAAATTTTGGCCTACCACCTTTACAAGGCTCTAGAGCATGCCTATGGAGAGATATATTGCTGCATAACATCAACAAATAATTAAAGGGAAAGTATGTGAGAAGGTTGCAAAGTATGAACTTCCATATTTTGATTTGTGACGTCTCGTCTGGTTCCTTGAAAAAGAGCCTTTTAGTAAGAGTAATTCGCAATGCCTTCACCATAAATCTTCCTATAATTTGGAAAAGTCCCTCAAATCATATTATTTGCCAAGAGTCCCCTTTTAGTTGTCCAAAACTGATCCAGCTAAGTTGCCTCTCACCATCTACCCTTTACAAAGCTCATAAAGTAGCAACGCAATTGTTGTTATATGATCAGTAGCCTTCGTAACAGGTCAGCTTGTATAAAACACAAGCACGCTATAATTTAATGTGGCTATAATGTTGCAAACTGCATTACAAAACTAGGGCTCACTATTGGCATAAGAATATTTGGGTACCTCATTTATCAGAAGCTATATTGCTTCGAAAGAGAACAAGTTCATCTGTCCTACCCTTTATTGCTTTCTCTAGCTCAGAAGTCACCATTCACCAAGTCATCCGTGTTTGCAGTGAAAATTGATTGATTCATTGCAGGATTCATTACAAACTTCAGACGTTTACAACGAAAACAAAAATCAGTCTTTTTATAAGACTTTTACACAATGAAGACAAAAAAAATTATAATTCTCTTCAAACAAACGCAACGAGTGTTTATCGTCCGCTGCTTGCGTGGGATCTTGGCCTGTGACGGGGATGTCGATATCCGTGGACTACCTGACAATCAGATTAGATCCGAAACTCCGTCGATCCGCGAAGGAATCTAGAAGCAGAAGCGCTTATCTCGACAACGGCGAGATAATTGCTCTTCTTAGAATTATCACAACGGGATAACTCTAAGGATCGGATGAGGGCGATGCAGATCTGAAGAAGCTGATCAATCTTCAATCCGGCAAGGCTTCGCCAATTCTCCAAAAATTCAGATCTAAAAAAAATGAGGCTCCAGGGGCTGTATTTATAGGCTTCCAGGAGATCCGGGCGGTTAAAACTGATCGAAAACCGTCAAAAACACGTCTCAAGTGCGAGACAGTTTGGGGTGTCTCGCACATGTGCGAGACAGTTTGTACCCTCTTCAGTATTTTGGATCTAATTCTTTCATCTGACCTCGGAATGAGGTGATTCAAGTTGTGTTGAAAAGATCACAAAGAGATCTACAACTTTCATGTTTTGAGTTTCTTCAGATTCAAAACGAATCATGGTGAAAACAGCTCCACAAGTTCCGAGACACCTTTGGGTGTCTCGGCCAGGTCTGAGACACCTTTGGGTGTCTCGGCGCTATTTTGGTCATAACTTCCTCATATGACCTCCAAATGACCTGATTCCAGATGGGTTGGAAAGTTGACAAAAATATCTACAACTTTCATGTTTTGAGTTTCTTCAGATTCAAAACTAATCATGGTCAAAACAGCTCCAAAAGTTCCAAGACACCTTTGGGTATCTCGGCCAGGTCCGAGACACCTTTGGGTGTCTCGGCGCTATTTTGGTCATAACTTCCTCATATGACCTCCAAATGACCTGATTCCAGATGGGTTGGAAAGCTGACAAAACTATCTACAACCTTCATGTTTTGAGTTTCTTCAAATTCAAAACGAATCATGGTCAAAACAGTTCTACAAGTTCCGAGAAACCTTTGGGTGTCTCGGTCGTGCCGAGACACCTCGGGTGTCCCAGTTCAGCCTGAGACGTTCCGTTATGCCTGTTTGTTCGTTTTCGCCGTAACTTCTTCATCCGAACTCGGATTTGAACGATTCAAAGTGCGTTGGAAAGCCGACGAGGAGTTCTATAAGCTCCAATGATTAGATCATCTGTGGAATAAATAAGACACGAAGGGCATTTCGTCTTTTGTAAGTGACACGGGGCTCCCGATCAGTTCATATCCTTATTATTCTGAAACTCCGTTGCTTCACATAGTTCGTCAACCCACTTCATGTGTTTGTCGACATCAATCAAGCTCCTGTGACTTAGATAGTGACGTTCATCATCTTCTCTTAGCCTCGAGCTGTTCGTGGAGACCTATAGGTAATTTTCAACGCCTACAATCCGTTCACAGAATCGTGTTTCTTGGTATTATTCGATTTTTCAAATCAGTACCTCATGCTCAAATCCATGCCTTCTAGGTTTTTCCCTCTGTATGAGTTTTAGTAGATACACAATCATATGCGGTATCCAAGTTATTCCTAATACTTCTATCGCTCTTAATGCAAAATGAATAATTTTAGTAGATCTTATATTATTTGTTGCCTTTTATGAAGATGTATATATTCAATGTATCAGTTACTTACAGTATCCTTCTATTTAGGGCTTACCTTTATATATTTCGTTTTCTTATTACAATTTTTCTTTTGTGGAGATTCTACAAGTTCGTAAGTATGGGGTATTAGCCTCTTCTTCATATCAATGAGAATTAAAAAAAAATCTCTATTTTATTTCAACAAGATACACAATCATATGTGGTGTCGCTAGAGAAGTGAATAAGGAAATGCTCCAAAAAATGAAAACATTGATCATAATAGAGAGAGAATTTGCTTCACGAGATAGAAATGGGAAAATGAAGAAGAAGTTCAACTGAACTAATTAGATCAAATAAAATAATCTGACACTAACAGAAAGATGCACAAGTTCAACTGAACTTATTATAACTAACTGAACTTATTATAACAAAGATAGTTATTATAAGTTTCTAACAGTAAAACTGGAAATAGTTATATATAGATAACACACCACTTGCGAAAATAAGCATCGCAGTACAAATGCGTTCAAGTCGGACATAGGTATTACAAGATTCATATATATATTTTTCAATCGAAGAATTTTTCAAAACAAACCCGCTTCAACTTTTTTTTCTTAAAACCGACCCGTTTTTTTTTATTTATCAAAACCGACCCGATTTTGTAATTAACAGCTTAATCACCATCCTAAATAGTCGGGGTTGGCAACCCCGACTATTTAGAAAGGTGTTAAACCCTAATTAGAAGCCTTAAACCCTAAAAATTAATGTCCTAAATAGTCGGGGTTGCCAACCCCGACTGTTTAGGAATGTGATTAATCTGCTAATTACAAAATCGGGTCGGTTTTGATAAATAAATAAAAAAACGGGTCGGTTTTAAGAAAAAAAAGTTAAAGTGGGTCTGTTTTGAAAAATTCTTCTTTTCAATCATGAATTTGTATCCAGATATGTACAAAATAATAAAAGCTGATTTTCATATCCAGAAAAATTATTATGAAGTGGATGAGAGAAAATTAACTGGAACATTTTCAGACATGAATGAAAAAACGAATGACCATAATTTCCTAAAAAATGAATAGGCATATGAACACAAATGTCACAAACAAAAGTGGCTACGCACAAGTTTGTAACTGTGCATAGCCTTAGGTTTCATCAAGTCATCTACATAGGAAGAAAGGAAAACCAACTATAGCAAAATTTCTAATCTTAGTCATAAGCCAAAATACTAAGCTCAAATGTCACAAAGCTAGGAAGATAGAAAAACCAACTACAACAACATTTTTTAATCTTAGTTTTAAGCCAAAATATTAACCTCAGTTTGTAACTGTAACTATATCTTTTCACTCACAATATATCTATGAATTCTTAACTTTTGAAATTAAAAATTTCCTAAAATAATGTTGTTAGGTGATGCCTCAAAAATATGGAAGTGTTTTACGTAAAACCTTCGTCTATGGGCAGATTAAACTTAAATCATTACAATCTTTATATGAAGCCTTCTGCCATATAGTCATGTTTATTTCAAATTTTCTACTCATTTTTTAAATTAACACAATAACACTGGAAGTGTTTTACGTAAAACCTTCGTCTATGGGCAGATTAAACTTAAATCATTACAATCTTTATATGAAATTTGCTACTACTTCATACTTTGGACTTCTTGCCAAAAAATGCTAAATGAACCATTATTGTAGACTAGAATTGGACTTAATTGATATTCCCAGTCGGCAGGCATCTGAGACCAAGTATAGGAGAACCTGATTTTCTCTATAAATTTTAATTCGTTCAATTAAGCTAACTTTCATAGAGGATCGTCAAACATCATCTTTCTCGCCTTCATTTGAACTAAAGTTGTTGATCCTTTTGAACCAATGAGATGATTCCTGGATGTGTCAGATGAGTTGTTAACAATGTTTAATCGTAAATGTTAAGTTCTTCCCATAATCTAACCCCTAAATTCAAAGACTTCTCACAAAACCGGTTCTCATGAACTTTTATATCGCAAGCCTTGAGAAATCTAGAATCGATTTTAACAACTTGTCGCCATCCGTTGAATCATGTATAGGTGGATTATCTCTTTCGTCTATTCTTCCATCTTTTTTAGTTTTTCCTTGCCTATCTTCAGGCTTCTCCTATGCACTAATTTTCTAAATAAATGTAAAAGACTTCTACAACATGATCCTAGTTACTTAACAGTAAACGTAACTCATCAAACATCGATTATGCTTTAAATATTTCAATTTTCCCCCTTAATGTGCATTGAGCTTGCACATGCTAGTAGCACTGCACACTTAACTGTTTACAACGTATTGAAAGGATTAGAAGCAAGTACAGTCACAAACTTAAAAAAAATTACAAATAATTATCAAGTTATGATCATACATATACGAAGATCGTTCACAGTTATACCTCCGTCTTCATAATTTATTAAATCAAATGTTCTGGTAACAATCAACTAAAGACAACAGGAATTTAGGAGTATGCAATTTTTATCCAGGTACCGCTTCATAAAATGTAACTACGACTCCGCATGATCGATATCTAACATTTTAATGCAAATGAGCAACAACTAGTTATCTAGGCCTGACAAATATACTCTCATTATCACAAGATTCTCACTATAGACCCTAGCAAAGGTAATTTGCAGATCAAATAACAAGTAGAGAGAAACAATAACTGACCCCATTAGAAGCTTTCGCCTTATCCCTCCTCGAAACAACCCCAATACACCTAAGCTCCTCATCAACGACCGGAAGCCCCGACACAAACTCGAACTGATGATCGATCGCCTCCAGCGTCTGCTCCGCCGCCGCCGCCCTAATCCTCGTCGACATCACCTCCCCCAACAACGCCGTAGGTTTCATCTTAAACTCGAAAACACGAAGCCGTCAAGAAACCCTAGCCCCACCCAACAAACAAAAGAGGACTCGAGAGCCACACTAACCTTGTCAGATATAATCTGCGTCTCGAGATAAGCGCGCAGATCGTCGTAGCTGAGAAGCGAGATGTTCTCCGGCCACTCGCCGGAGATGATCCCCTCGGGGTTCTCGTCGATCGCCGGCCGGAGATCGGCCCCCTCCGACTTGATGCTTCTGGAAACCCTAGCGTTGGAGATTCTGAAGCTGAGGATTCCGGTTCTGGAAGCTGGCGTTTTGGAGGGGAGACGGAGGAGAATTAGGGATCCGTTGAGATTCGTGCACGCCGCCATTGCTTCGTCGAGGCGACAGAGAGAGTGGGGGGGGGGGGGTTTCCCCCAACTCTCTTGTGCCTCGACGAGCAATGGCGGGTCACGGAATCTCACGGATCCCGTATTCCTCCTCCGTCTCCCTCAAAACGTCCAGCTTTCCGAACCGGAATCCAGCTCTCAGAGAATCTCTCCAACGCTAGGTTTTCCACGAAGCATAAGTGGAGGGGGGCCGATCTCCGGCAGGCGATCGACGAGACCCTGAGGGATCATCTCCGGCGAGTGGCCGGAGAACATCTCGCTTCTCGCTACGACGATCTTTTCGCGCTTATCTCGAGACGCAGATTATATCCTGACAAGGTTAGTGTGGCTCTGATCCTCTTTTGTTTGTTGTGTGGGGGCTAGGTTTTGACGGCTTCGATGTTTTTCGGTTTAAGATGAAACCTATCGCGTGTTGGGGGAATGTGACGAGGATTAGGCGGCGGCGGCGGCGGAGCAGACGCTGGAGCGATCGGTCAATCAGTCGAGTTTGTGTCGGGGCTTCCGGTGAGTTGATGAGGAGCTTAGGTGATAATTGGGGTATGTATTCGAAGGAGGGGATAAGGCGAAAGCTTCTAATGGGGTCAGTTATTGTTTCTCTCTACTTGTTATTTGATACTGCAAATTACATTTGGCTAGGTTCTAATAGTGAAATCTTGTGATAATGAGAGTATATTTGTCACGTCCTAGAGTAATCTAGTGTTGCTCATGTTGGCATTAAAATGTTTAGATATCCGATCATGCGGAGTCGTAGTACATTTATGAAGCGGCCTGGATAAATATCGACATACTCCTAAATTCCTTGTTGTCCTTTAGTTGATTGTTAGAACATTTGATTTAATAATTATGAAGACGTGAGGTAAACTGTGAACGATCTTCTATTATGTATGATCATACTTGATAATATTTTTGTAATTTTTTTTAAGTTGTGACATGTACTTGCTTCTAATCTTTCAATACGTTTGTAAACGAGTTAAGTGTGCAGTGCTACTAGCATGTGCAAGCCTCCCCATGCAATTAAGGGGGAAATTAAATATTAAAGCATATCGATGTGTTGATGAGTTACGTTACTGTTAATTAACTAGGATTCATGTTGTAGAAGTCTTTTACATTTAATTTAGAAAATTAGTGCATAGGGAGAAGCCTGAAGATTAGCAGGAAAAACTAAAAAAGATGGAAGATAGACGAAAGAGATAACTCCACCTATACATGATTCAAACGAGATGGCGACAAGTTGTTTAAAAATCGATCTTAGCTCTCTCAGCTTGGCGATATAAAAGTTCATATGAACGGTGTTTGTGAGAAGTCTTTGAATTTAGGGGTTAGATTATGGGAAGAACTTAACATTTACGATTAAACATTTTAACACTCATCTGACACATCCAGGAATCATCTCATTGTTCAACAAGGATCAACAATTTAGTTCAAATGAGGTGAGAAAGATGAGTTTGACGCCTCTATTAGACAGTTAGCTTAATTGAAAACGAATTAAAATTTATAAGAGAAATCAGGTTCTCTTAATCATCTTGTCTCAGATGCTGCCGACTGGGAATATCAATTAAGTCCAATTCTTTAGTCTACAATAATGGTTCATTAGCATTTTTTTGCAAGAAGGTCCAAAGTTGAGTAGTAGCAAACTACCGTTTCTTTCTAATTGCCTTTCCCCCCCCCGCCCCCCCCTTTCAAGATTCTGAAGGCGTGCATGAGAAGATAAAATAGAGTGTTATTGTGTTAATTAAAAAAATGAGTTTAAAAATTTGAAATAAACATGACTATATTGGCGAGGCTTCATATAAAGATTGTAATGATTTAAGTTTAATCTGCCCATGACGAAGGTTTACGTATACTACATCTTCCAGTGTTATGTGTTATATTTAAAAACTAGAGTAGAAATATTAATAAACATGACTATATTGGCAGAAGGTCTTCATATAAAGATAATGAAGTTTAAGTTTATCCATCGATGACGAAGGTTTAGTAAAAACACTTCCATTATTTTTTGGCATCCCTTAAACATTTTTTTAGGAATTTTCAATTTCAAAAGTTAAGAATTCATAGATATAGTTGTGAGTGAAAAGTATATGTGTACAGTTACAAACTGAGGTTAATTTTGGCTTAAAACTTAAGATTAAAAATGTTGTTGTAGTTGGTTTTTCTATCTTCCCTAGTTTGTACTGCTTAGTATTTTTGGCTTATGACTAAGATAGAATTTTGCTATAAGTTGGTTTGCCTTTCTTACTAGTGTAGATTGACTTGATGAAACCTAAGGCTAGCACGTTTCAAAACTTGTGGCGTAGCCACTTTTGTTGTGGACATTGTGTGTTCATACTTTCAATTTTTAGGAAATTATGGTCATTCATCGTTTTTTCATTCATGTCTGAAAATGTCACAGTTAATTTTCTCTCATCACTTTCAATACTATTTTTCTGATATGAAAATCTGTTATTATCATGTTGTACTTCTGATACAATTGATGATTGAAGAAGAATTTTTCAAAAACAGACCCACTTTAACTTTTTTTCTTAACAACCGACCCGTTTTTTTAATTTATTTATCAAAACGACCCGATTTTGAATTAGCAGATTATATCACATTCCTAACAGTCGGTGGTTGGTAACCCTCCGATATTTAAGGAATAATTTTAGGTTTAGGGCTTCTAATTAGGGTTGTAAACACCTTCTTAATAGTCGGTTGTCAACCCGACTATTTAGGATTGGTGATTAAGCTTGTCTAATTACAAAATCGGGTCGGTTTTGATAAATAAAAAAAAGACGGTTCGGTTTTAAGAAAAAAAGTGAGCGGGTTTGTTTTGAAATTCTTCGATTGAAAATTTATAGTATATGAATCTTGTATTATCATATGTCCGATCTTTGAACGCTTTCTGCGATGCTTTTTCGAAGTGGTGTGTTGATCTATATTATAACTATTTCCAGTTTTACTGGTGTAAATAACTTATTTATTCTTTGTTATAAACAGTTCAGGTTAGTGATAATAATTCAGTTGAATTGTGCATCTTTTCTGTGTTTAGTGTCAGATGTATTTTATTTTGATCTAATTGTCTCAGTTGAATTCTTTCTCATTTTCCTATTTCTCTGTGATAAGCTATTCTTCTCTCTATTATGAATCAATGTTTTCATTTTTTGGAGCATTTCTTATCACTTCTCTTAAGCGACACCTACATTATGATTGTGTATCTGTTGAAATAATAGAGATTTTTTTTAATATTGCATTGATATGAAAGAAGAGGCTTAATTCTCCTCTTATCTTGCTGTACGAACTTGTAGATCATTCCCAAAAAGAATAATTGTATTTATAGACGAAATTATAAAGTAAGCCCTAAATAGAAGGATACTGTAATAACTGAATCCATTGAACTAGTATACATCTTCATAAAAGGCAACAAGATAATATAAGATCTACTAAAATTATTCATTTGCATAATGGTGCGATTAGAATTTAGGATTACTTGTACCGCATATGATTTGTATCTACTAATACTTCATCAGAGGAAAAACCTAGAAGGCATGGATTTGAGCAGTTGTAGTTCTTGATTGAAAAATCGAAATAATAACAAGAAACACGATTTGTGACGGATTTGTAGGCGTGTGAAAATTACCTTAGGTCTCCACGAACAGCTGAGGATAAGAAAGATGATGACGTCACTTTTATCTTAGTTCTTTGTTGAGCTTGTGATGTCGACAAACATCTATGATGTGTTTTTGACGAACTATGTGAAGCAACGGGAGTTCAGAATAATTAAGGATATGATGATCGGGGCCCCGTGTCAGCTATTTTTTTCCTTAAAAGACCGAATGCCCTTCGTGTTTATTTATTCCACAGATGATCTAATCATTGGAGCTTATAGAACTCGCTCGTCCGTTCTTTCCAACGCATTTGAATCGTTTTCAACCATCCGAGTTCGGATGATAGAATGTTACGGCAGATAACGAACAAGCATGGCATTATACGTGACGTTCTCAGGCTGAACTGGTGCACCCGTCAGGTGTCTCGCACTTTGTACCGAGACACCCAAAGGTTTCTCGAACTTGTAGAACTGTTTTGACCATGATTCGTTTGAATTTGAAGAACTCAAAACATGAAGTCTGTGATAGTTTTTTGTCAGCTTTCCAACCCCATCTGGAATACGGTCATTGAGGTCATATGGAGGACTTATGACCAAAATAGCGCCGAGACACCAAAGGTGCTCGGACCTGGCCGAGATACCCATTAAGTGTCTTGGAGCTTTTTGGAGCGTGTTTTGCCGTATTGATTTAGTTTGAATCTGAAGAAACTCATAACATGAAAGTTTAGATATTTTTGTCAACTTTCCAACCGCATCTGGTAATCAGGTCATGTTGGAGGTCTTATGAGGATTATTGACCTATAAATAGCGCCGAGTACACCCAAATGGTGTCTCAGACCTGGCCGAGACACCAAAGGTGTCTCGGAATTCTTGTGAGGCTGTTTTCACGTCATGTTCGTTTGATCGAAGAAAACTCAAACATGAAAGTTGGTGATCTTTTGTGATCTTTACACACCTATACTTGAATTCTTCTCTATTTTGGAGGTCAGATGGTAAAGATTAGATCAAATACTGAAAGAGGGTACAATCTGGTCTCGCACATGTGCGGACACCCCAACTGTCTCGCACTTGAACGTGTTTTTGACGGTTTTCGATCAGTTTTAACCGCCGGGATCTCTGGAAGCTATAAATTACACGCCCTGGAGCCTCATTTTTTTTAGATCTGATTTTTGGAGATTGGGCGAAGCCTTGCCGGATGAAGATTGATCAGCTTCTTCAGAATATGCATCGCCCTCAATCCGAGTCCTTTAGAGTTATCCGTTGTGATAATTCTCAAGAAGAGCAATTATCTCGCGTTGTCGAACTAGCGCTTCTGCTTCTAGATTCCTTCGCGGATCGACGGAGTTCGGACTATCTGATTGTTCTCTGGTAGTTCCACATTATCGATCATCCCCGTAAGGCAAATCCCACACAGCAGCGGACGATAAACACTCGT